CCTATAATGGTGTGAAAGAAAAATTCTTCATAAACAACATTTTGCAAACTTAGTTTAACTGGATGATGCCTTGTTAATTTTTGTAATGGATGGTGACATTGGCATGAATAAGATTTATTACGTTAGTCACATGGAAGTGCATGTGCTGAATGCACAAGTTTAACCATCAGTACCTGCACAATAAACCTAATTAAATAGTGTGTCATCAAAGATGATTTAAATGAAAAGATAATGAAGCAAATCACAGGAAAGGTGTTCAACAAAATTTATTCTGAAAGAATCGGAAAGGTTATTATAATGAGAGAAGTAGTCCTCCATGTTAATCATCTTTTTCAAACTATCTCAGTAAAATTGCAAGCTTAAGAAAAGTCACGGAAACTCAATTTTTGATTTGGGACAAAAGACAAGATTTTTCCACCACTTTTTGCAGAAATAACATGTATTTTTACTGATGAATTTTGAGAGAGAGTTTCAGGTATACATAGACATTTATGGCTTATAGCTCTTTCTGTCTGTGTCTGAATTGGATCCTGGTTCTCTCCCATATGAAACTTTCCAATAGAATTTCTCTCCTCTCTGAAGGTTTCCAATAGAATTGATAGCAACTATGTTGCAGATTACAATGTTAAATAATTTGTATCACTGATTAGGAAAGTAGTATTTTTATTGAGACTTTTGTCTATATTTCATTCACAGCAGTAACAAGCTGTGAAAGTAAAGGCTGCTAACCACAAAAACAGAAAAGAAAGAATTAGAGATCACTTCTGAGCAAAGAAAGTCTTCTCTTTTTCACCTTTCACCATGTTGTTTTCTCAGTGAAAGAGACATTTGGCAATGAAGGGACTCTCACCAGGCTCTGTGTTGCAGGTGCTTAATTGCATAGGGCAATCACTTGCCTGTGAAAGAAGATGCTAAATGGCACTGGAGCTTCAGTCAAGTTCTCCAAATACAAAATAAAATGTATTAGTAGGCTCCAAGGGAGCTAAAAGTGCTTTCCACAGGAAATTTTTGGTGACCTTCCCCTAACTGAAGGTTACCATGTAAGCTATTCCCTTATGCTGAAGGAGGAGAACAGACTAACTGCTGATTATGTGTTTGTTACCTGTATTAAACTCAAGTGACAGACATGTACTTAGCCACAAATTTCAGAACCAGGGCTTGATAACACCCCTTTCTGCCCTGTGTTTGAGGTGTTTCCATTTTCTTCATTCCATGATTGAAATAAGAAACCTTATTTCCAGGTTTATCTGCTTTCTCCCCAGCCAAATCCCTTGCTGCTTCTGCCTTCCCAACCACTAATACATATTTAGGCCATTTGTCCAGTTCAAACTTACTCAGCTGGGGGTTTTATTTTGGGCCTATCTCAACTGCATTGATGTTTTCAGACACTGCAGCAATGCTGGTCCTCATTACTGCAGCTCTGCAGTGAGTCCCAGCAGATAGTACAGCCAGACCCTGCCTTTAAAGTGTTATGTGCAAGTCATGGCATGAGGTGAAAGCAAAGTAACTGCAGTGAGGAAAACCTGTATGGACACTTAAATCATTAGTTAGATTAAGGTAACAATTTATCAACAGCTGTAGCATGCACAGCAGGGACTTGCAATTAATATTAACTATTGATGGATACTGCCTGAAATATCCATCAATAGTTAAAAGAAATCATGATTTTTAAAACAGATTTCTGTCATGTTTATCCCTTCAGTGCTCTCCTGCATGAAGTGAGGCAGTGCAGTGGTGTTTAATGAGATCACAGCCATGACTGAAGTGTGACCTGTTGGCTGGCAGAAGGCAGCTACTTAAGAACAAATCCCAGTAGGTGGTTTGGTTTTAAAAACAAGGTTTCATCTCCACAAAGATTCCGAGATCTGTCAGTGAAAAAACCAGGAGAGAGAAATTGCAATGCACCCATCTGAAATTTAATCAAGAAGTTAAACTTGCTGTAACAAACATAAAAGCAAAGTTACAACTCTGTATGTATTTGGTGACAATCAATAGGGTATGGAAAGCCTTATATTCTCAACAATTTTGTGTTGAACTTTTGTTGACATATCTAACTCAATACATTAATATTTAGTCAATAATTATTCCATCAGAAGGGCTATAATGTCTGATTATTTCCAAACAGAACTTCAAACTGAATGCTTAATAATTTTTTTTCAACTAATTTCATAATTGCAAACAATAAAGCAAAAAATAAAAAGGTTCTTTGCAGGCAGAGTATTTGATGTCACTGCAGCTTCTAGTTCTGATCTTTGCAGAAATACTGCCACTTTCAATGAGAGCCTCTTTCTCTCTGATCAGGGATGAACACTGAAAATTTTAAAACTTGGCTCTACTCAGAGTATTTTTTTTCCCTTTAAAGTGTTGCAGTTGTGGTTTGATTTTTTTTTTTTTTTTTAAAGGGCTGTCTTCTCTGAGAGTTGTATCAATTCCAAGTGATATCTTCTGCCCAGGACATGCTGGAAGGCTTCTAATAAAATCTGCCATAGGTTTTAGTTCCTTAAATATGACCTTTAACAGGTTATAGGAATAGCAGAATCTGAGCTTCATGCCTGTAGAATGATCTGAAGTGTTAAAGACATCATCTTGCTGCTTTTTCTCCATTTCACTTGCTTCACTGGTAGATGGCTCAGTATCAGGAGGTGCTTGTCTAGTGCCCCTCTGTTTATTGAGGTGCTCAAATATTCCTGCAGCTGAAATACTCAGGAAAAATTTGCACACAAAAACCTGAGTGTCCATTGGCTCTGTGACAGCACCTGTAAAAAGCCAGGTCACTGTGCTACGAATGTCCTGTGCCTTTGGGGAAATCTTACAGCATCCTTTAGTGAACAGTGCAGGCTTTGGGGGTTTGTCCTCTGCATGTTGCATTCAGTCTTCTTGTATTTGTGATCTTTTCCTGAAATGAATCAGACACATGAAATATGTTGCATTTTTTGTTCTGCAGTGTAAACACAGTTTTTAACTCAGCAAACATGCTTTCAAATTAGGAACTATTTGGGATACCAATTTTTGCTGTCTTTTGGAAAATGAAATTGCAACGCAGAACTGTTGAATTTGCACACATTACACGTCCTACCTCTTCTGCAGACAAATCTCCCTGGAGTAATGTGATCTTACCAAAACAAAATGACATTGTTATATTCCTTTGATATAGCTTTTAGATTTATGGTTAGAAACCAGTATTTTTACTGAAGAAATATTGACTTATGAAAGAAATATGTCCCAGAAGAACGGGACAAAGTGTTAACAAAAAGCTCACTGAATGGGTCTAACCCTATGAGACAAATCTGTTGAAGACCACAACTTTGGAGTCTGTGGTTAAAAGAAAGAGGAGCTGAATCTGATTGAGGATGCAAATAACTCTGTAAGCAAAGTGACATGATTCCATCTGCCCGATTTGGGTGACTCCCAAGCCGAGGCAATCTTTTTCTTGGTTGCCTGTAACAAACAAAACATGGGCTTTTTCAAGGACACAAGTGGCTGAAACAGTTTGTCCTTGTTCAGGCTGTCTGAGAGCTGGCAAGTCCTGCCACCCAAACGCCCCAAACCGCAGCATGGGAGCCCTAGTTCGGGCCCTGGCTCGGGAGGGAAGATGCCATCTGTCAAAGTACACAGTCCAGTTTTCCTCCTTTTTCATCTCCCATCCACATGCTGAGCAAAACTAACGGTCCTGGTAGGACTGAAAATGGAAAGGTCAAACCAGAACATGGTGTGCTACAGGAAATGGTAGCTCAGCCTGCAGAAAAATCTGCCGAATCTGGGGAGAAATGAACTGAGTGTTTCCAGTATTGCTCCGTGACTTTCTTTTTCTCTTCAGGGCTATTAATGTTGCAAAGTGTTACTTTGTTTTGTTTCATCTATGCCTAGGAGAGTAGGTTGGAACTTTGTTAGAGCACGTTCCAGTTTGTCCTTAATATACAGCAGATAAAGAGAAAATAATGCATCCATGCATAAAAATCACTTTGTGCCAGGATTCTATTTGAGAGCATCTGGGAAACATTGAAAGCTTTATTAGAGAGTGATGACGTGTGTTTTGTGAAACACAAAGAATAGAAAGTAAATTACCTTGTCAATCTTGCTTCCTTTTCTTCCCTCATCTCTGTTGCCTTTACCTTTCTCTTAAGCTGCCCAGTGCAACCTCACACTTATTTTTCAGGGGAAAAGCAAGTCCATCTGTCCTTTTCCCTCGGCGCTAAGATTAATACTGTACTGTCAACATGTTGTCTACCTCCCCAGGCTGGTCCAGCCATTTCAGCAAGGAAGACTTGCCTTGAGGGTTTTTTTAGTGCTTTCAAAAGGCGATTGATGTGCTCTGGTACAGGAGAACAGAACTGTGTTACTGCCATGGTTACAATTCCCCCACGGTTCACAGATAGAGTGGTCTCTTCCCACTAAAAGAGTTTATCTTGTAGCCAAAATGGTGTTTAAAAAACCCAAAATGCATGTTCTTTTCTCCCTCTTTGTTACATAGCAGACTCCCAAGGAAGTAAAGCACCAGCATCCCTGATGCTTAGATTAACTTGTGATCTATGTTTAACAGTAGTCTACATTTTTTCTAACTTCTCTTTGCATTGACTTCATGGGAAAAGACTAATCTTATGACTTTTCTTCACTGTTTACTATAACCATTTTTTTTTACCTGGTTATATAGAAGCTTTGTTGAGGGATATTTATTATCAGAGGCACAGTTATCATTTATTCAGATGGAAATGGAGAGCGGTCCTGAGCCTCCCAGAGTGAACTGCTCAGCTCTCAGAGCTGGGAGACCAGAGGGGGAAAAAAAAAAAGCCTCAATCTCTCAGGCATGGTGTTGGGGAATGTTCTATGGAAGGTGATTTTCCTAAATTTCTAGGTTGGTCGAGAGTGGCACCAGGCCTTGACCCCTGCTCCCTGTCCCCTCACTGCTCCCCTGCTGCCGCCATTTTGGGGTGGCCTCCCTTGCACCATTTTGTGGCTATCCCACCGACGCCATTTTGGGGTGGTCCAGCTGGCGCCATCTTATGGCAGCACACTCGTGAGGCGGTGCAATGGCGGATCGGTCCCCTGAAGGGAGTGTGGGGCAAGCGGGGCCCTTCCTGGCCCCAGGGAGGGGATTACATGGGCGCTTTAGCTGTGGGGATGATTAAAATATTATCCTGACTTTACAAAGGGGGCAAAAATAGCTGGGAGGTGGGTCCTGGTTGGCGAAAGGTGGGCTGAGAGAGATGATGAGTCTTAAACTCCCACACCTGACCTATGATGAGGGTGTGGATTAACAAGGTACCTTTGGCCATTGCCACTTTGAAAAGGCACAGCTGGTGACTACTTTTCCTGAAAATACTTGCTGCCAATGTTGGGAGGAGGCAGAGACAAGATTTTATATAATAAATATATAATAATTATGTATACAATTTATATAATAAGTAATGCTCCTGAGGGACAATTGATCGGGAAAGGGGCACGAAGGCCATGGGGACCTCAGAGAGAGAAGCAGGTGTTGGGGATTACATAATCAAGGGAAGGCAATAAAACACACCCTGGCCTTGTTAGTGTTGCTTTTTAGGAGAAGATGGAGCTGCTTCTCTCACTTTGTGGGCTGTGGAAGGACAGGAGAGACCAGAGCAGGAGGAGCTGGTGAAGGCAGCAGTGCAATGGCCTGATCCTGAGCACTTTCCTGTGGAAAAACATGAAGGTTAGTGATAGACATTTTACTGAGGGGTTTGTTGCTGCACACCACCATGGCTGACTAATTAAAATATGTGGTTAACTGTACGATTATGAATGCTTATAGTTGCTTAAGTTAAGGAAAAACGGGAAACTAGTTGAAGCTTCTGGCTAATTTATAAGAATATAAAAATGTCCAGGGGGAAAAAATATCTTTTTCTGTTTGTTCTCTGAGGGATTATAAAGCATGAATAGTCTTTAATGTTCAATTGAGAATTAAAGTTGGGAATTGCACTTTTCTTCTAAAACAGCAATAAAGAATTTTGTTCTGACTTCCAGTGTGTTTATTCTTTTAGTTTTAAAGGAAACTGTAGCCAAGTTGCAAACCTGCCTTACTATTGCTCTGTAGATGTGCAAAAATACTACACTGGGTGGCCCAAGTACTCAATGTAGTGTAGCAGAAATATTTACTGTGAGCTAAGTGCTGTAGTAGTTATTCAGACAAAATACAAAAGAACATAAATGTGAAACATTTTTTGAAGAAGAGCAAATAATATGAATTTTTAATAGGATTTTCTTCATGTGCATATGACAATCTCTGCCAAGATATGAACTACGAGTGTTTTTTTGGGCAGCCCATGAGGCATGCTATGTGCAGTTACAGCTATTTTTAATTATTTTATAACATTTCTTATTGTTGAAATAAAAATTTACCAACACTATTCAAGAATACTTGAAAATAATTATGGGAATATGCATTGAACCTATAAACAACAGGGAAAAAAGGGAATTCAGTCATACAAAAAAATGTGGAGGTCAGTATGTGCTGTGCAATGAGGTAAAAGTTGAATATAATCTTGTCCTGTGCAAAAAGAAATGCTTTTTTAAATGTTCAATGCCTTTTGGTTTGGGCAAAATGTGACAGGCTTGTACAATGGGAAAAAAATGAAAATAAATTTCAAGAGACTTAATACATTGGAAATGTAAGTATTCAGTAACTTTTTATTGCAGCATCCTACAGGCAGTGTCACACAGGATGTGATTCTCTATAGGAAAATGGTAAGTGGTAAGTAGTTGTCTGGGCTATTGACTGTAGGTAGGTGAGTAAATATTTTGACTCAAGCAAACCTTGTTAACCTGTGACCCTGACACTGAGCAATTGAATTTGGTTTGGTTTTTTGTTTGTTTTCAAGAAAAATCATTTTGACAGAAGTTGGAAAATCTTTTAAATTTGTTGCAGCCAAGATGGTAAAATCTTTAATTGAATTACTGGGTATTTGTTTTACCTTTACATCTGTTTTACACAGTATTATTTCATTCATAAAACTCATTTCTGTGGTGGTTATTGCTGAGACTGGTAAGGGTCGGGTAAGGAGAGTAGTAAGCACAGTGTGAGTGCACTAACCTCTTACCAGCAAATGACTGGCTGTATGAAATTAATGCATTTACACAAATTGGGTTCTTAGTGCATTTATTTTTTTAAGCCAAGGTTGATCATCCCTTGGTGGTTATCAAGCCCAGCTGATCCTGAATTGCACTGTCAGGGAGCAGGAGCAGACTGCTTCCCTATAGTGGATCTTAGATGTGTAGTGTAAAAACTTTGTATTGAGGATGTTTCTTCTGCTCAGACAAAAACTTACATGGGTGTGGGCTGTGCTGTTAATTGTACAGTTTGTGTGGGACTCTTTTGCTGGTTTTAAACAATTACTCACAATTTGATATTGCAGGTTTTGCGTTTCATACCGCTGTACTCATCACCTGCCTGGCACTAATTTCTTAAATTTTAGTGCCAAAGCTCTTTCTGTGGAGGGTAGGGGGATGAAGAGTACAATGTGATTGAGAATTAAAAGTCTTTTCAGCAATTCAAGTTTCCTTCCATTTAAACATCATAGAGGACAAAAGTGCAACCCTGATTTTGTTTTTTTATTTTTTCCTGACTTGGGGAAGAAATGTTTTAGTCTTTATTGGAATGTTAAGCAGATCGGGATAAAGAGCCAGTTGCAAGGTAGTATTCCTGTGTTTTCTGCCAGATTTCTTTGGATGTACATTGCCAGCACCTCTGACAGGCTGGTATTTGTTAAAATGCGTAACGTGAATCTTTAATGTCTCTCTTCCATATTTATCTAATTATTGGTCAAGCAGCATGACTTAGAGGGCAGTTTAAAAATCCATTTTGCCACACAAGTATTCATTTGAAAGCACTTTTCTTTGTTTTTTAAGGAAACTGATGTGTCAGTTGGCTGTCATAGGGAAAGTGGGCAGAAAGGACTCTTACCTAGACCCAGTGTAAAATCTTGTGTTATTTTTTTCAATTTATGAAGCTTAGTGAGTTGTGTCTTGTGATTATGATTTTTACCTCTCTGACAGCAGCCTTGCTGCCTGTTGTGAATTCAGTGAGCAGTCACAGGTTTGCAATGGTTGTCCTTCAACCCACAGTCCCTGAGCACCACTTAGGCTGTGGGGTTTGTCTCAGTGCACAGTAGCACACTTGGGGGAGCAAGAAGAACGTCAAGCAATGGAAAGACCAAAGGGCTTAAGGGTGGTAGTAGATAAAATGGCAAGATCCACAACCTGGATCCTGTTTAAATCATGTTGGCAGGTTGTGCCAAAGAGAAGGAAATCTGGCAGCAGTATTGAGAACAAATGGGTGTAAATCTATTTCTGAATGGGTACCAACTAACTTGCACCCAGAAATTCAATCCATCTCAACTGTTTGAGGTCTCCTAAAAGTAACAACAGAAGGGAGAAAGAATCTGTCTTTATTGTGAATTCAGATGTTTCTGCTAGTGGTAGTCACTGCTGATTTTGGTTGTAATACTGTGAAATAAATATTATTTTGTCATCTTCTGAAAAATACAGTAAAAATTGTTATTTTGCTGCTGATTTTTTTTTTTCCCTGTGAAGGAGATGGGTAACAGTTTGGAGAGGCATAAAAACAGCAGGCGAGAGCACTTGCCTTTTATCAGTCATGTTTGCAAGTTGTTCTCTTTTTCTTTCCCACTTTATTTTCCCATGTTTCTACTCTATTTGAGATGAAGATATTATCTGAATTTTTTTCATAGAAAAATACTAGTTTCTAATCATAATCTAAATTGGAAATTTTAACTTTGAAATTTTAACGGAGAAATTATGGGTAATACTGAGCTGCTTGTTAGACTGTTTGGGTTTATTATAGAATAAACTGAATCCTAAAGAACGTCTGAGATAGCCAGAGTTTGAGAGCTTTAAAAGAGATTGAATTGATGCTGCAAAATACACAAAGTTCAGTATTGGTTCTTCTGGTTTATTTTGGTCAAACACAAGCAGAGCTGCTCCAAATTCCTCTGAGCGGAGCTGGAACAGTGTGTGCAAATGTTGTCTGTTACCATCGTGTTTTCTTTTTTCGACACAGAAGAGCTGTTGCTGAAGTTTAGAAGACTGGGCCAAATCTGTCAGTCAGAGAGGGTTTTTTTCTGCTCACTAGGATAAGGAATTCTTATTCTAATATTTTAAACATTATAAGTAGCATTATACTTAAATTATAAATTAATATATTGTTGCTGTGTGTGGAAGAAATACCAACCTCCATCTGACAGCCAGGTAGTGTTATATTGTGGCATGCACAGTGAGCTGTGCATCCTGTCCTTCCATGTCTAATTAGTGCCATCTCTGCTGCAGTCTTGGCCACTGAAGTGTCTAACTCAGTTCACTTGCAGTTGTTGCTCATCCTTCGTCTGGCACCGCACTGTGTCATCTGACTGTCACAACCTGAGAATTGTCACCTAGAGTAATTGCTTGGGATGCTGCTCTGCGTCTTGTTTCCTAAAATCCTGGTGGTTTTCCCTCCACTGAGCTATGAGGCTGCTAATGATATTCCCATGGACTGCTCATAAAATAAATGCAGCGCTGTGACGTGTCAGTACTGACAGCAGTGCACAGAGCAGGGCACAAAACAGCAACGGACTCTGCTGATGTTTGTGTTCTGTGATGGATGTTGGAGCCAAAGGGAGTGTGCAAGTGGAGGACTGGCAGGCTGTCCCACGACAGGATCCATGGGCCAGCTGCTCTCCACAGTGCTGACCTTGCTGCAGGATTAAATGTCACACTTCCCCCTTTCCCCAGCTGAGACCCAAACAGTGTTTTGGTATCTGCTTGATGCTCACTGCCTCAAACGCTGTCCTTGATGAAATATGTTCTCCCTAAGTCATTCTTCCTCCTTTTTGAAATGTCTGGTGTTTTTTATGACCAGTACACACAAAATGAGCTCATAACAAATGTTCCTGCAGGAGCCTCTGTAGGAAAGTAGGATGCCAGAGACAGCCAATTCCACAGGTGTCACCCTGTGAAAGTAGAGGAAAAGTTGGTCATCAGCTCCTCAGGCATGTTCTGAATGGTGTTGCTGTTGATGATCAATGGGTCAGAGACAATGCTGCCTTTGGTACCACTTTCATAGTCTGTAGGGTTCTTTGGTGATTTTTGAGGGGTTTTGCTGCTTTTGTTTGTTTGTTTTAACCTCAAGGGAAACCAGTTGCCTAGTGTCTGCAATGCTGAAGGAATTGAGGATTGCTTGGTGTTGTTTTTTTTTTTTTTTTTTTTAGTTATTTTAGGGTTTGGGGTTCTTTTCCACTCTTAGGGAAATGACTGAATGGAAGGGATGGAAATGTGGGCAGGACTGTCTTGTGAAAAATAATGGTGTCTCAGGTGCTGTTTGGTTTCTGATATTAAAATAGGGAAAATTTGTGTCACCAGACATGAAGCTGATGGTGAGGCAGTAGTGTCACAGCAGATAGTAATTTAATTTTTCTTTCTGAGGCTCTCAAGGTCTTGAAGTGTTTTGAGTGATTGGAGTTCAGAGGTCAGGCTTCCCCATCACCATCCTCTTTAGGAATATTAGCCTTCAACATATTGGAACTTTTTCCCCCAGTGGTATTTCTTCTGTTCTAGATACATACTGAAAAGGAACTGTTTCTAATGGGATGAAAGGTGTGTATATATACAATTATTACAGTAATGAGGAATGGGAAGGCATAGGAAAAATATAGTAGCTTGGTGCCTTCAGAAGTCTTAGAGTAGATGTGATCTGTGATGTTTTTGAGTCTTGTTCCTGCATCCTAATTCTCATGAATAATCTAACCTGTTTGCATAAATTATGAGGTTATCTAACTCTTTGACTGTGTAAACTGTTAAGATTCTGTTTTCCTTGAAAATGCTGTGGCTTACTCGATATATTTCTTGTAAGAAATCAAACACTTAAGTTTTAGATATCTAAGAGCTGTGTCTAACATGAGAACAGCACAAAAGAGTATGAAACGGAGGCTATTGAATGTATTGATGTTTTTTCAGTGCACCGTGA